AATCGCTGCTCCAAAAAAAAAACGGAAAAAGGTAAAAAAAATAGAAGGAAAGAGAATGGGGAGAGAGATTAGGGAGATCTTCTCCTCCCCCCACCCCACATGACACTCTCGCCGTGCATAACAGCGTTTCCCACCAGCTTACATCATGCCCCAAATCGCTGCCTCTCAAAAAAAAAGAACGAAAAAGGTAAAAAAAAATACAAAAGAGAATGAAGAGATATTATCCTCCCCCCACCCCACATCACACTCTCGCCGTGCATACCGGCGTTCCCCATCAACTTCGATCATGCCCCAAATCGCTGCTCCCAAAAAAAACCCCCCAACTTCGATCATGCCCCAAATCGCTGCTCCCAAAACAAAAAACGAAAAAGGTAAAAAAAAAAAAAAAGGAAAGAGAATGGGGAGAGAGATTAGGGAGATCTTCTCCTCCCCACACCCCACATCACACTCTCGCCTTGCATACCAGCGTTCCCCACCAACTGCAATCACACCCCAAATCGCTGTTCCCAAAACCAAAAACGAACAAAGAAAAAAAAAAAAAAAAGGGAAGAGAGAATGGGGATATAGAGAAGAGGGAGATCATCTCACCCTCGCCCCACCCCACATGACACTCTCGCCGCGCATAACAGCGTTCCCCACCAACTTCAATCATGCCCCAAATCGCTGTTCCCAAAAAAAAACGGAAAAAGGAAAGAGAATGGGGAGAGAGAGTAGGGAGATCTTCTCCTCCCCCCACCACACATCACACTCTCTCCGCGCATAACAGCACTCCCCACCAACTTCGATCATGCCCCAAATCGCTGCCTCCCAAAAAAAAAAAAAAAAAAAAAAAGCTAAAAAAAAATAGGAAAGAGAATGGGGAGAGAGATTAGGGAGATCTTCTCCTCCCCCCACCCCACATCACACTCTCGCCGTGCATAACAGCGTTCCCCACCAACTTCGATCATGCCCCAAATCGCTGTTCCCAAAGAAAAACGGGAAAAGGTAAAAAAAATAAAAGGAAAGAGAATGGGGAGAGATTAGGGAGATCTTCTCCTCCCCCCACCCCACATGACACTCTTGCCGTGCATAACAGCGTTCCCCCCCCAACTTCAATCATGCCCCAAATCGCTGCTACCAAAAAAAAAAACGAAAAAGGTAAAAAACAAAAAGGGAAAGAGAATGGGAAGAGAGATTAGGGAGATCTTCTCCTCCCCCCACCCCACATCACATTCTCGCCATGCATACCAGCGTTCCCCACCAACTGAGATCACACCCCAAATCGCTGTTCCCAAAACAAAAAACGAACAAAGGAAAAAAAAAAAAAAAAAGGAAAGAGAGAATGGGGATATAGAGAAGAGGGAGATCATCTCACCCTCGCCCTACCCCACATGACACTCTCGCCGTGCATAACAGCGTTCCCCACCAACTTCGATCATGCCCCAAATCGCTGTTCCCAAAAAAACAAAACAAAAAAAAGGAAAAAAAAAAAAAAAAGAGAATGGGGGAGAGAGGACATACCTTTGTGAGTCATCGTGGTTTGAACTTCGATATGGACAACGCTGCTCTCCTACTCGTTCTTAGCTTCTCAATTGCTCTCCTTTCCTGTATCCTCCTCTCATCTACTCGCCAAGCATCGACTCCTCTATTCTCACATGTTCATCTCCCTTCTATTGTTGATTTGTACTAACATCTCCTTCTCTTCTACTCTCTTGACATCCGCCCTGAAAGTAAGCACACTACAAAAGACATGTGAAGCACAACCTGCGTTGTGCAGGTTTGAAGTTGGAAGGAGGTGAAGAGGAAGCATCGCCGAAATCCACGACGGCGTCGACGAAGTAGAGGCCCGTGACTACTGAAAGACGCCGGCACCCAACCAAAACGAGGCCAATACCAGGCCGCAAGAGGCCGGTACAAACCCAAAAAAAAAAAGGAGTGTACCAGGGCAGAAGAGGCCGGTACCAACCCTGAAACAGGAAGGTACCAAAAAAAAAAAAAGGCAGGCCGGCACAAACGAAACCAACGCCAGTACCTACGAAAAAGAGGCCGGCACTTT